GGTTGATCCGATCCTCATCTTGAAACACGCACACACACACACACACAAAAAAAAAACATGAATACACTATATAGGTCCCAATTGCTGTCGGCCAAACAATGCGAGGTTCGTGCAAGCCTAGCTAAAGATCGGCTCCCTCTATTCGTGTTAAGCTCAGGTTCACACTTGGCTTCTGCCATGCTCATCATGATGTCCTGCCACAAGAGTGGTACACTCTATGGTACACATGCGCTCGTCTCGGGCAACTTCGGATCGAAGTTAAGACGACCAAGGCCAGGCTTTGACCAAGACGACCAATGTCTGTCGGAGACTCTTCAGACCTTTTGGGCATCTACTAGCTTCTTGTTTCTATTTAAGTCTTGTTTCTACTAGCTTCTTGTTACTACTAGTAAGGCACTTGTTACTAGTAGCGATGCACTTGTTACTAGTAGCTGAGAACGACATGTCAAACTCCACGGTTCCGAGACAACAACTTGGACGCACCGACAAGCATCAAAGGACTTCCATAACCGCATCAGGTCTCCAAGGTCTGAAGCCTCTGGTCAGAACAAAGTAGGTAAGGTAGTTCCAAGTGTGGATGCGGTAGGGGTATGCCCACAAACACAGCAAAATCATGTCAAAACTACACGTTCACCTCAGTCATATAAGTCATGAAGAGAACCTCTGGTCGGAGAGACCCTCCTCAACCTCCAACGACCTAAAGTGAACCTCTCTTCCAGTTCAAACTGAACACCGTCAAAAAAAGAGCCTCCAAGAAAAGCTCCAGAAACCACCAGCACTACACTTCACAACCCGCGAAACCAGAGCCAGTCCGCCAGTCCTCCTCATTGCAGAGCTGTCCAATGTTGCTAGCCAGCTCTGCGATGAGCTGATGCTTCTGTGGCATCGTCACCAGCATCCGCAGCAGGGTCACCAGCTCTGAAACACCGCCACACTTCTTCAGGGCCATGCGCTGCGCGGTGGTCCTGAAACGAGTCGGAGCGAGTTGGAGCTTCCAGCTTGGACTGCTTTTGGAGTCCCAAACAAAACAGACTCTAGATATCTCTAGACGTCTCTAGACTCAACCTTCGAGCTGGCTTCAGAGGTTTCATCGTATTTCACTTACAATAATACGACCAGTTGAAAAAAGCAGCAAAACTCTGGAATGGTCCGGCCATCGTTGTCCATGAACGAAACATTCACAGAGTCCCATGATGTAGGGTGCGAACCTTGAGAGGTTCTTGGTGAGCATCAGCGTGTAGTAAATCCTTGGAGCATACAATGGATTCCGATGGATGTGAGAAATTGAAGTCAAAGGAGCGTCCTCGTAGCGACCCAGTAGGGCGGAAAAGAACATCTTCGCTAGACATAGGGCCCCAACAAGTCATCGTCCCTGAGTCCCAGATGTTCCACCAGAATGGCATGCACCTCAAAACCGGTACAGCCAATCATGTTTCGGGTGAGAAACTATACAAATGTGGCTGAGGAGGTCATGCAAGAACCTGAGGAAAGTGCATCCATCTGGATGAGGACATCCTTCACAGGCCTCGCGAGAAGCAGCTTGGAGATTGCAAAAGAAAGTTCCACAGCCGGTCGCAAGTGGAGATCTCGTGACACATCTACTGACGCCAGAAGCAGTTCTTGACCCTTCCCCAAATCTGGCTGTAGCTCAAGCTGGTCATCTAGTTTACGTCGATGCTATGAAGTCAGTAATTAGGGCCTAGTAGGGCTTGAAGTTCCTGAACATGAATTGTTTTGACTTTGTGGACACCATGAGTCCACCAAGTCAATCTACAAATCAACATAGGAAAAGGCAACCTCCCGCCGCCAAGGGTCCCACTCTTGACACCGCAAAAGCTTCACAAGACTAGGTCCCGAGACTCGTGGTTGCTCGTCATGTTCACCAATGCGACTGTGGCGCAAGTCTTGAGGAAAATGTTCCGCCTCGCATTCGCGTGGCCACCTAGTAGACCTAGCCAGCAAACCCCCCTTTTACAGGACGCGGCATGATCCACACCCTGAGAACATCTTCTTATTACCTAAAGTTTGTTGGATTTTGCTAGGACTAGGGGATATCTTTGGCAGTCACGGAATACTTCTTCGGCCACTCAAACAAGTTGCTCAGAGAGTTCCACCTCGCAAATGGCTCTCTGGAGTGGAATCGACCGTCTACTGAGGCAGGTGACACGCGACACGCACCGTGACACGCATCAGGCTGAGGTACCAGCCGCTTGAGGATGCAGGTCAGCGCAGGAACCTCAACAAAAGGATGTCGTAACATGTTGTATCGCTGAAACACCTGTGGTTTTCACTACGGGTCCAGCAGTTTACAATTGATTACTATTTACTGGTTTGCCAGTGCTGTGCTTTTATGTTTATGTGTCCAGGCTGTGCAGCACTATGGTCAATTCAACAGTCTGCGTTTCGGCTAGCTGAACCTGCGCTGAGCCAGAAAATCCCAAGGCAGTTAGAGACAGAAAAAGAGATTCGCATCACTTGGACTTGAAACCCCAAAAATGGGCTTGTTATTTTCTGGATTCTTCCAGCCCCACTCTCCATTCTTCTCGGTGAGATCAAAAACATTCAACTAGACCAAGCAGCCAGGACTGACGCATGGATAGGTCCCGAGCCTTGAAAGAGACTTCAGTCGAAGACTTGGAAGTGAGCAGTTCTGAACAGTCGAGGCTCCAATTATTCGAAGCTCCGGGGTGATGATTTTGTGCAAAAAAGGAACACACAGCCGTGGGCTGATGCTCGAAAACCACCTGGGCGTCCAGCATGCCCACCCGAAGGTCCGGCAAATGGCAGCCTCCGTGGATCTTTTCGGAGAAAAGGTCACTGATTGCAAAGGAACACAGGTTCTTGGCTGAGAGAATGCTCCGAACATGGTTCAACCCAAACCATATATAGCGCCATAGGACAGGTTTCAATGCTCTCTAAATCAATCTCAATCCTTTATAAAGGGCCGCATGTTGTGTGAGAGCATTGAGGGCATCAAAACACGCTCTCAGGTTGGTTGATCCTTGTGGGAGGATTTCAATTAATTATGTCCAAAACCAGCCCACCACATCATTCTCAGTGCAGACCAGGGAAATGTTTTCAGAACAGCCATCGTCTTGGAAGCCTTTCTTTGGAGACGCCTTCAGGCTCGAGACAGAGATCGTCCAGGTCCCACCTGCCTTCAAATCCTGCGAGGAATCCTCCGAGACCAGCAAGGCACACAAAAACTGGGAGAAGTCCAAGCTGATCTTCTCCTCGCATGTGACCACAAAGAATCAGAAGCCATTGCGATCTGGGTGTTGCTGGAAATGGTCTGGCAGATGTGGTCATTGTCCCCTTACAATGTGGGTTCAGGGGACGTCCATCAGAACTCCTGCAAGCTGCAGGCAACAAAACTCTTGCTGTTCAAAACATGTCTCCTCCCCTTTGGGCGGTTTGAGCTGTCTGGCAAGCCAGCCAAATTCCAGGAAGGCCCTCATTGGATCGCTGAGCTTGTGAGCTTTTGGGGAAAGATGACAATGGCGATAACATAGTGTGCTAAAACTGGTGGATGAAGGAATACAAAAAAAGAACTCCCCACTGAGCTCCCTTAGAATGATCATCCATGTGTCGACGCTGCAAAGCTACACGCAAGGCTGAGGCCACGACTGAAGCGCGTCAGTCCAGTGAGAGAGAGTGAAGAAAAAAGATCGGTCTCAACGCTCCGGCCATCTGCTTCCTGAGGAAGGCCATCGCTAGTAGTGACAAGGGCATCGCTACTAGTAAGAAGGGCATTACTACTATATAGTAGCAAGAAGCTACTAGTAGCAAGGTGCCTTAGTAAGGCATCATCATCACTAGTAGGTTCCAGGCCATCACCCTCCAAAAGCCTTACCGACCAGCTGCTCCCGCTGCTTGGAGCCCGACATGGTTGTTGAACTCGTAGGTCTCAAAGAGTTCCTGTCCGATCCGTAAATCCAACAAGCTTCTTATTCTTTCTACTAGCTTCTTGCTCCTCATAGTATGGCCAGGAGTAGCTTCTTGTTACTAGTAGTAAGGCCAGGAGCCCCTAGTAGCGTCCTTTCCGGTCCAAACTTCAAACAAGGAAGTTCTACCAACACTACTAAGAGGCCGGCGGGGTTGAGAATCAAATGCCTGATCTCCTTGAGCTCCCATTTCCTGAGCAATGCAAGCCTGTTGCAATCTTAGCTTGTTAGCCTTGACAATTGACAGGAAACAACAAGACTATTGTAACAACATCAAAGTCAAAGTGTCCTATCGTGATTGCGAGGAATTTGAGGTTTGGCACAGAGAAGGTAGGTGGAGATAGGTGTGCAGGCTATCCCTTGCAGTCGCGTGCGCCAACGATTGGGTCGTACAGCTTGTTTAAGAAACAAAACGGATTAGCTTAAAGCAAGCCGCCAGGGCCGGTCGCGGATCAACTATTTTGGAGGCTTGGACTCAAAATGTGTTAGCTATATGCTAGCACCAACCACCAGCACCACCAGCATCACCAAACCTGCAAAATTTACGAAACCTTTTCTCCCTTTGCTCAGACATGCAAAATGGGCGCAGTTGAGCGACGGTCCAAAGTTTGTTGTGGAATTGCAGGTCATCAGGATTTGGTGAGTGCATTATCGTTTTTCACGTCGGTCACGTCATTGTTTTTGGTGAGTGTATGGTCGCTTTTCAAGCAAAACATGCTGAAATTCCATCACCACTCGCTGCCACTCGCTCACTCTTCGTCACTCGTGTTGCTGTCAACCTTTGTTCGTGTGGCACCCAGCAGCTTCCTAAGCACTGGACTTTGAAACGTCCTGCACCACTGGATTGAGAGAGCTTGGAACGGACCACTTTGTCGTTCGCAGAAAGAAAGAGGAAAAAGAGTGTTTGCAGAACAGGTCACTTTCTTCAAATGCTTTGTACTCTTTCGCAGTTGATCAAGTGGATCCTACTAAGCCAGTCTTGCAAGTGCTCACCACCCACTGTGTGCAACTTCCTTGAGGAGTTGGGATAAACAAACCATGAAACTACAGTCCTTGGGTCTAGCATGTAGTAGAAACAATAAGGCCTCATGGACTTTCTGCCGGTGCCTCAGCCGCAGAGCGCGAAGGACAACATTGACCAGAATGACTGGCGTGGCCACCATGCAGCAAACCAAACAGGGGTTGATCAATCATTTAATATTAGCTCGCAAGGATTCTCACTGAGAGCTTGCCACCAAAGTCGAAGTCAAATCGGTTAATATTCCAAATTCCAGCACAACTCCACCGCATCCGCATTTGCTATGCTGACCCCCTCACAATTGCGGTCGTCTCACACAACTGGGCACTCACACAGTTTCACGGTCAGGTTGGCATTGCAAATCTGTTCCAAGGTGAAGTCACTGAAAAAGGCCTCGTGGGAAATCGCAGTCTTCGCTGGCACGACCAGTGGGAGTTTAGGGAATATCCTGTCCGTCAAATTATTTTAAAATACTTTAGGACGTCTCGAGAACAGGATGCATTCCCGATTAAGTACAATTCAAACGATCTGCGCTGAAGAATCTCACTCAAAAAGATCCACTGGCATCTACACTTTGCCCAAAATGACCTTAAGTAATTGAACGTCCCGTCTTGACCTCTCTGTCTCGTTGATGGCCGGAAATTTTCGGAGCACTGCGCTGCATGAACGCTCCAGATTGAGCACAAGACCCCATCAAGGCAGTATGTAAAGTATCGAGCAACCTAAGTCAGCTGCTTTCCAAACAAGTAAGAGCTGCAAATAAACATGCTCGGTCCCTTGCCCTTGCCATCCAAGCATTGCCTCAAACGATACTCACTTAAACTAAACAGCTAAAAGAAAAACTGAGCAGGGAATCATCCGTCTTCTGTCCGACTCTGTCGCTTACCATCTGCCTTCCGGCTGGTCCTCCTCAAGGTTGGGGATCATCTTCGCCTGGTTGGCCGCCTCTAGCGGAGAGATCAGCAGCGGGATCTCCTCGCAGAAAAGGGCTCCGAAGAGTGTGTAACTGAGGAGCCTTTAAATGTCAATCGGTCGTAAACGTGAAATGGCCTTCTGAGACTTCCCTTGATCAAACGGGAAGACCGGTCATATTATGGCGTATCGCTGGTATAACACCATTGTGCCAGAATCCTCGCCAATCTCATCCAGCATGGCAGAAGAAGGCCTCAAGCGAAGTTTCCAATTGCTTCTTCACAGCAACATCATATCGTACCTCTACAAGCAGGCTCATGTTTATTCTCATCAAATCCTGTGCATGTTTCTGGACCCAAAACGTGGAAACCTATTGATCCCGTGTATCTATTGCGTGGGATCTCGGCCAAAACATGCTTCAACGATGTTTGGACTCGTTCTGACTGGCAAACTCCGGGAGCCACACAGTTGATGCTCTTCATGCATCACCTAAGACAAATCGAAAGGGCTCTGTTCAATCTCTAGACTTTTGGCCAGACGAAAAAGCTCGTGAAGCAAGCACAGAAAATGGGCTGGGAAGCCTGCCTTGAGAATGCACTTCAAAAACATGCGGGCCTCCCAGCTATTGACATCTCTCTCAAGAAGGTTTGGCGGGACAGCCGCTCTGCATTGAGCACATCATATTTGCACAATCTGGGACAGCCGCTCTGCGCCAAGCAAAAGAAGCTTGGGAGCTACGAACCAAAACACCAAAACAAGACCAACAACCAACATGGCAAAGGATCAAAAAGACATGTTTTAGTTGTCCATCCTCCTGCTCGCAGCTGGGCTTCAGATTCAGGGACTTCTCCTGAACGGAGATGGGGCAAAGGGCCGCAAATGTTGCTTGCCAAGCCGACTCTGTAGGATCTGAACATTTATTCAATAGGGGGGAAACAGGAGGCCAGATTGGAGGCCATCGCTATTGGGTTGGAGGCCATTACTATTAGATTGATTTGCCTCTAAATCTTGGACATTCAGATCGTGTCGGGTGCGAAATCGTGAAGAAGGTGGCGGAGCCCCACACAACCCGAGAGTGGTCCCTGCACTATGAGGCCCACCGTCCAAGCAAGAGCACACTCCGGCAGCAGAAGCGTATCCAGCTTGCCCTGCAACACATGGGACCATCGAAGGGTCAAGGCAATGCTAAATGTTAAGGCCTTTTAGTGAGCCCCGCAATTGTCATTAGCTCTCTTGTGAACCTTCAACTAACTAGCAAACGGACAAGGCAACGTAAAGTTGGTAAATTGTTTCAAGAAGTCACACTGATTGAACCCGCAACTGCAACTTCACTGCCTGTATGAAGTCTTGGTACATCTGCTGCGGGACCGTGCAGTGTGGAGTGTTTGGCATCGTGGAGTCAGCAATCAAGCCTCAAGAGCTCAGATCGTTGCAGCAGCTCCGGTGTTTAAAGAGAAGGTTTGGGGCAGGGATTGCTTTCCCAACCCCCCCAGCATCCTCCTATTCATCTTTGACCACGCAGGTTGGAGTATGTATCTCCTCCCCCCTTTCTGAACTTTCAGAGAGAAAAAATATCCACCGTCGCTGGGAGCCCAGGCGTGCTTCGTGCAAAAGGACCTCCTCATCGATCTTGCCCTCGTCCACAGCCCAGCGTTGACACGTGACCTCAGTTCCAGCTTCACAAGCTGGAACTTGTCAATCAAACCAAATAGGCCCTCGTTTAAATCGAATCCAAATTGTCCTTTGAGAACCAAGCAAGAAAACGAGCTTTACTGTCCTATTCTTCGGAGCATCATTTGGATGTTCTGCCTAGAAAGAAAAGTTTATCCTTCTTAGAGTCCGATGTCTTGAGCATGATGGTCTTTCTGGCTGAGCTCACTAAGCTCCGCGAGGAAAAGCAAACAAGAACGATGCAATCACTGAGCTTGAGGCACGAATGACGAAATCTTGCCTTGGTACCACATTTTTGACGGGGAAACATTTCTGCTCCTCAATGTTCCAGCATAAAGAACGGGTGGGGCGAATTGCACACCATCATGTTAGAATCCCATAAAACTATTGAACCCAGCTTGCATTCCTAGAATTTTGAAGGCAAAAACTTTGGCAAAAGCTAATTCAATGCTGTCAACGGCAAGGTCCACCAGCAGAACCAAGACGAACAACTCCAGCCGCCACTACCCTCTCAAGAACCAATTCAGCAACCCACAGGAGATTCTGAAAAGTGGTCTTGGAAAAGGACCTTGGTAGCAGTGGTGTTCCTCATACTTTGGATGGTAGTACATTGTAGCGAAAGTCCAGTAGTTGCAGCCTGGCTTGTGGGGTAGCACCAACGCGCCACAAATCACCCGTCATGACATACCCCAAGTGACGCTGCATCAGCGAGGGGTGGAACATACCTAGGAAACGTCCGCATCGAATGTCGAATGAAGGCTTTGTTACTAATAGCTTCTTGTTTCTAATAGCTTCTTGTTTCTAGATTCTAGTAGTAAGGCCCTTGTTCGCCAGGAGCCCCTAGTAGCGTCCTTGCTCCTAGTAGCGATGCCCTTTGCTGGATGTCCGCAGAAACGTCCGCATAGGCTTGAACACGCCACTTCAAGCCCCCAGCTGGCGTCGCAGCAGCACTATGGCCATGACCTTGACTGGAGCACATTCATCATACCCCAGAAAGACTGGCATTTGGCTTGGCTTCAGCAGCCTTCCACTCCAGCTTCCTCCATCCACAAGGTCTATTTTCTCCTTGTTTGCAAAGCTCTCTCTCTCTCTCTCCCACCGAGTCTCCCTGCTGAGTCCTCCGATCTCAAGGTAATCTCCCAACCTGGGCACAAAGACCAACGCCACAAGAAGCTGAGCGCCACAAAGAGCAAAAATCACAAGAAAATCCAAAACCAATAAGAAAAAGAAGGTGCTTGGGCCCCTATAAGAAGGCCTTCTTAAAGGATGTCTCATTAAAGTAGTGCCTTACTCAAGGAGCCCGAGCACCTGATTCTATTTTCCTCTCGTTTGGAAGACTCTGGTGATCTCCACAGCAGTCGCCGGTGCGGATCTGCCGTTGCGGTGACGCAACGTTCGTGAGGTTCCAGCCGCTCCAGGCACATAGGTCATTCATGAGATTCATCCTTTCGGTCCAGTCAAAACGGTTCGGAGGTGAAATCGGAAGTGAATTGGTTCGGAAGAAAAATACTAAACAGATCATGGATCTTTGACACCTTACCAGGTGAATTCTGAATGGTAGAGAAAGTGAAAGGGTTCTTCTCTTCTCAGGAACCATTGAACAAGCAGGATGATCTTGAGGATCCCCGAAAAGCATTCACAGGGGTTGAAGTCAGACTCTGGCCTCTTGAGGAAGGATTTGCTTTTGGTGACAACCACATCTCTCCTGTGAGAATCAGGTCTCCAGCTGACCATAATGCCATAATGCTAGACCATAGGACACGCTCTACTGCCGCATTCTGACTGAGCTTGCAGCAATGAGAGTGTGATGCTTTGCTTGTACTCCAAGCCTGCCCATCCTCACGATCGCAAGGGTTGGAAAATCTGGGCAGTTACCTTGAGCTTGGAAAGTGTGAAAAGGGCCAACTCTAAAACGTGCATGTTTGAGGCATAATAGTGTCGAGAGATTCAAAAGGCTCTCAAGGTGCTCAGGATCTCTCTTTTGTAGCTGCCCCTCCACATTGGACTCCATGAGTTCCCGACGAATGTGATTGTGATTGGCAGCTTCAAGGTCAGCGATTGACACTGGCCTTGGGAACAAAGCACGGCGAAATACGGTTCTTATATTCTGGCCCAAGCCTAGACTATTGCCACAGGGTTGGCGGTTCTTTACCTAGACTTGACCGTCAAAATTCCAAGTGTCCACGTGGTACCTCGGCTGGCAAACATGAGTGGAAAATCGTTTGCTGAGAGAGTACCTTCCTCAGCAACTGGATTTTCATTGGTTACTCCAGAAGAGGGGACCCTTTCCCCCGGTTTTTTGCCGAGGGGCTCCTGAACGCCAATCTCCAGTTCACACAGCCTCTCATGATCTTGAAAATGCCCTGCATGGTCCTAGCGCTGCGAGTTGTGGCTTCTTGTCCATGGCACCATGGTGCCCGTTGAGAAGCGAAAGCGGTGCGCAGCAAAGGGTAGCGTCGAACTGAGTCTGAGCCCTGCCAATGGCAAACCGAATTCAACACTGTTGCGAACAAATTGTCCTGATCTTTGTAGGACTCAGGGATGAAAAATCGGTACGCTGAATGAAGAACCTGCTGCAACTCGAATCTTGCAGCCTCAAGAAAATCTACAACCACAATGTGCCTCCTTGCATCCTTTGAAAGGCTTCACCGTCAAGAACAGTTTTTTGTCGCGGTCTCGCTCACCACCTCAAAACAAAACCGCAAAACCGCATGCGGGCACGACGCACGCCTTCTTAATGGAGTTGACACTGCGACAATCCGCATCAATCGTTCGAGATTTGGGCAGCCAGGCCAAAGGATTGCTTCGTCAAGTGCAGATGCCGCACCTGCCAGCACGCTACCAAATCTTTAAGCACTTTGCATCAAATGAGCAGACCCCTTCTTCGGAGTGTGCTCAATTTGATCTCAGGTTTGTACTACAACCATACCACCAGCCAAGTCTTAACATCCGTACCGAGTTACCATGTGCTGCGCCTGTCCAAAGCGGAAGATGTAGTCCGTGTTCCAAGCGACCTCACAACAGAATGTCAAGCAGCCAATGTCCGATTTGTTCCACTTTGTTTCCACAAAACAGAGTCCATGGTGTTTCGAGCCTGGATTCTTTGGGCCAAGGCATGCCTGTTTTCACAGGAGACCTCACTCCGAGCATTGGCCCGATCGTCTGAACGCATCCAAAGCGTTCAAGCGAGCTTGCGGCGAAAAGCTTCTCGCTCTTCCATGCAAGTGCCCCAGATTCGCCTCAGACTGAGTGTGATCATGGTGCCACTTTCATCTGGTCATTTCGCTTCTGCATTTCGCGGCTTAGCAAAAGCAGAAGATCCGTTGCATTGTCCGAATCCTGCCATGCAGCTCGACGGGTGAGCGTCATCCAGGCCACGCAGGTCGGCATGTTCATTTTTCTCCAGGTGAGGGGGAGGTAGGCCGAGGTAACAAGTAGCATCAGTGAGTTAAGGAGGTAAGCTACTTAGCTAGGAAAATACCAGGCTTGGATGCAGATTACTCAGGCTTCTTCAAGGAAGCTCCGAAGCCTGAGGCTTTATGATTTGGTTCCTTGTTTGGGAAACTCAACTTGATTGTCGGCATTCGTGCCTCAACCATCGAGCTAATAAAGGCAAAGTAGATTTCACCACCTGCCGTGAGATGCACTTGCAGCTCTAAGGCTCCAAGTAGACACACAATCCTAAAGCATGTGCTGTGCATTGGCCTGATGCGGTTTGCGTCTCGTTACAGATTCGACTTTCCTTCTCACCCAAACCCGGCCTTTGTCATTGGGGTAAAGCCTCGAGTGAGGACACTGGTTACGGACGTCAGTTGGTAGCTACCTGGTCTTGAAGAGTCTCCACTCAAGACTCTACCTGGTCTTTGTGAGGCGAAGACCCACCCAGATTTCGGCGGACCAAGAAAAGTGCATGCTTCCCAACAGCCAGGAAGCACCTTAACCCGAGCCAGGAGTTAGAGAGAGGCGCCAATTTTCAAAAACCAGCTATGTCAGCTATGCCTCTCACGTTACGTTGTGACCTGCTGCTGTAAATTTCACCTGGAAATGCGCGGAAGGTCCAAAGCACAAAAGTGAGGACTCCAAGGCTGTTGACTCTTATTATCTGCATGTGATGTGGAAAGAAATGTTGCAATGTTGCATCTTGCATCTCGAGTTGGGCCGCATGGCAAGCTCGAAGTAGCGCAAATGCACTTTTGTTCGAACAGCCTTGGTTGAAGAGAAAGCGAACAGTTGCCAGGTCACACAAGCTGAGGATAATGCCAAAGCTTGTAAAGCAGCTGGATCGGCTGACATGAGCAAACTGGCAAAACAAAGGGGCCGTCAGGTTGTTTTGGGGAACTCTGCAAAGATTTTCATAATCCTCCCATGTCAAGGCTCACAACCAACACAAACTGCACTTTGGGATCCCACCTGCACTTTGGTCATCAGAGATTAGCCTCAATGATCGGACAATCCAAAGTCCAGAAGAATGAACAGTATCATTAGGGCCACCAGGCTGCGAGACAGCTGCTAGTCTTTTGGTCTCTCATCTCCACCCTACCAAGACTGATCAATTCCAGAATAAGACATGATATTCAATAAAAGGAAATACGTTGATAAGAGATGATAAAATGGAAAATTGTATATATATATATATATGTCTGAAGTCAACAGAAGCACGCCTGTCAACTGTCGTCGACTGTCGCCGGCTCAGCGATCGGAACACATACCCACTGTCAACAATGAGAGATGTTTCTCAGTCAACACGCTTCTTTCTCTGAAGGAGTAGTATCATTGCAAGAAAAAAAATGCAAATGATCAACGAGGAGTTTGAAATTCACACTGCACAAGCGATGACATGAAAGTTCATGAAAGAGTTTGAACCAATCATGGCTGCAGCGCTCTAGATGAAAGCCGGATGAAAGGCTGGCACCGTCAAAATTTAAACATCGATTCAACCGTCAATCCAAATGACCGCCTCGTTGTTGTCCAGTTGCAGGGTCAGCACATGAGGCAACTTCGTGACTGCCTCAATATTGCTTAGCCTCGGCAGCACCAACAACATGGAGATCTATACTTTATGAATGCCAACAATGCTAACTTAGTGCACGGCTTGTTGTTCGACAAAATAATATGACGAAGCCTCTACTCCAAATAAAAATTCAAGAACTGAAGAAAATGTTCCAAAACAACTCCGAGGGCAGGTCTGTGTGTAACTGTCCACTTTGTTCCCAAGATCTGTCAACTCCTCCACATCAGTCCAAAGTGAAACATCTGGTGCTCTCGTTTCACGAACAGCCTTGTTGGAGCAATCCAGTTTGGTGAATGCAAAGCCACCACCTACCTCCAGAGTGAACTGCAAATCTGTAGAACTAATCCACGCATTTTGACCAGGAACTTGTAGTTTTCATTTGCCGAAATGAATCACTGAGGCTCTTACAGCTCTGTCGATTTGAGACAAACTCTGACTCAATATCCTGGTTTAGTGCAAATACACTTTGTACAATTTCAAGCATCACTGTACTAGGATGCAAGCTCATGAGTGAGCGGGACAAATTCTACCTGCCAACTTGACATGTCAACAACCGAGCAGTACAACAGCAATCACTGCCTCTGCCATGCCGAATCATTGAGCAACCCTTGAACCAAATAGTTCTGCAGCATGAGCCCATGTACAAAAGTCGCCGCACTGCATGCGATATCCTTGCACTGCACCGAACCTTGGAACAACAACACACAGATAGTTTTCCACAACAAGACACACTACTTCAACGATACGCTTCCCACCACCATACAATAACTAACAACAATTAGTTTGTAAAGTAACAACCAACCAACCAAACAAACAAACAAACAGATCCAGTGCAGTAGAAGTTTGTTCGTCTTGATTGCCTTGCTGTAGTCGACAATAACAGGGTTCTCGTTTAACTCGCGGGTTTAGGGGCAGGCTCTTGTTCGCGACTCGTTGTCGTAGCGTTCCCAACCGTTCGCGGTGGAGCGCTATGGCGCTGACATTGGGCGAAGCGTTTGGCGAAAGTTTTGGATGAAAGCATGGCGTGTCAGATTCGTGTGAAATAGCGAGGAAACGTGTGGAAGCCAGGCTGAAGTGTAAAGGCTGATTTTGCTGCCAGGTGCAGTTTTTTGTGAAATTATCAGTCTTTAGCGCTGTCAGATTGGGATTGGCGTCAAGAGGGTGGTATGTTTGAGGTGTTGGGTGTGGCTGTGACATTGGGATTTGCTTTTAGGGTGTTGCTTCAAAGATGTGTTTTCGTGACAGTTTTGTCGTGCGACTTTGGTGGATGTGAGTGTGTTCAAACGTGTCGAGATCATTCCACACGTTTGGCGTGGTGCACATTTTGCCGAAGACCAAAACATGAACATGACTGAACCTGTCATATCGTCACTTTTCGTGGCAGGCGCGAAACGCTCGTTTTGGAGGCTTGACCTGTGACTGTTGGAGCTCGTTTTGCAGACTTCACGCGTGTGCTTTGGAGGAAATCTTGCGCGAAACACTTGTTTTGGAGACTTGACGTGTGACTTGTGGAAGACGTCTCGCACGAAACGTTCCTTTTGGAGACTTGATGACTTTTGAGGAAGTCTCCTACGAACCCTTTTCTTTGTGGGTCCTCGGTTTGTGTGGTTGTGGTTGCGTGCTGTGGGCTGTAAATGTGTCTTTGTGGTTGTGTGATGTGGTTGTGTTTGTGGCTTGTGGATACTTGTGGTGTGTTTGTGATTCCGTGTTTGGGTTTGTGGTTGCGTTGCTCTCACGAAACTCGACTTTTTGGAACTTGCTTTGAGCCACTGTGTCACGATAAGATCTTCACTGTTCTCTCTTCTGTGCGTTTCATCCCTGTGCAGGGGCCATGCACTCTTTACTGACAACTGACACCCCACCTTCAGGGTTCATGAAACAAATGAGGCCAAACTTCACATTCCAAAATTCCAGCACCGTGAACAGAATATTTTCAGCTTTCAAACTGCATTGCTCAAACGCTGATCGAACTTGAAGAAGTCATCGGTCTTCACCCATCGTTTCCTTCACCGTCATTCTTACCCATGACTTTCTCTTCCATCTTCCACAGGGTAGTTGAAATCAATCCATGCATCTGGATCCTCGCTTCCTGGCATCTTCATTCCTTGGCCCTTCGTTGACAATCTCCGCCTTCACGTTCACTGCCTGAAGTCGTCTCATTGTTCGGAGAAGAGAGAAAGACTTTTTCCATTCTCAATCCATGTGTTGAAAGTGATGACTGTTGACAGCGTAAATTCGCATCCAACGTTTTTGCAATGTGAAAAGCGGTGCGCCCCGGTTTTGACCGCTCAGCTTGGGCCTATGTGCATAGCGTATACCTATGGTATGTCCACCATGTACCAGTTGCAATTAGTCCATTGAACTCTGACTTAAGTTTAGCACCGTCCCCATGGCATCTGGTACACAGCGTGCACATGGCTTCAACGACCGGATGCTCGTGCTGTTCACGAGATGTCCACATCCTTCCTCATGATAACATGAGCTGGTCCTGCCAATGTGCCATAGCTTTCTTTCTCGTAAGCTTTTCCCCGAATCAGAGCCATAAGGCACTAATCTCATATTTCAAAAAAATCTGAAAAACACACTGAACAGCTCGCGCTCTTTCTTTTTGTACCTCAGGCGTTGGGGAATCTCTCTGCCCATCAGGGCTCCGGCATGAAAGTCAGGCAAGTCTATCCAGGTACTGCCAGTCACACGCAAACAGATCTTTGCGTCCAAGACGAACAGGCGTCAAAATAGGGAGGACATCGCGTTCCTCTCCCTCAGACAAATAATCAACAGAACGTGTGTATGCCTGCACGTGAATTTGCCTTGTTAAGTTCTTGAACTCATGTTCATGTCATGTCCAGCAAGTCCGGTCCTGCAGTCAAGCCTGCAGCTCGCTACGAACCAACACATCGAGCGGCACATGCATAGAGTAGTTTAAAGGTACACAACATCAACGCAGGTAGAAAAAGTTATTCGAAAGAAGGGACTATCATCTTCGATGAAATTGTTCTTCGATCTAAGGTGAACTTGACTTCCTGCAGGCGTCTCCTCAGTTCATCTTGTGCTTGTTTCTCACATTCTTTGGCTCGTTTCTTCCACTCTTCAGTGACTTCCCATGCTCGAGCCACATCTTCTGACATCCTTTCCATCTCTTGGGCTCGCTCGTCATCGTTTCCGGCCACTCGGATGGCTTTCTTCCTTGCTTCATCTCTTTCTTCCTTCACTACTTCGAGCTCAAAGCGTAGCTCGGCGCACATGTTGTACATCCTCACCACTTCACGTGATTGACGATCACGTTCATCTCGAGCTTCTTTCAATTTCTCTTCTTGTTCAGCCACAGCCACTTCCAGGTGCACTATCTGCCATTGCATGTTCACTTTCTCAGGGTCATTCTCGTATTGTGACTGCTCATGCTGGCTTGTGACTTCTTGTACTTCCCTTCTCACATGCGGGCCATCCGCATCATTGTCTCCAACTTCTCCTTGTCGTTGCACGGGTTGTTGGTGGTCTCACCATGCCTGTAGCATCTGCATAGTCATCCGTGCCAAGCTCCCTTGGGGCCTGCTAAACAGATCACGGTGATCAGTAGCCGAACCCACCATGCCTCCGTGCCCTCGTTCTCTTCAGTCTCATGCTCTCCAACTTCTGCACTCTGGCCACTCTGCAGCAGGGATAGTGCGATCACCACTGCCACTTTTGCATTTGCTCCCAAGCTCTTGGCCATCTTGCCCGTGTTCTTCTTCAGCTCCTCCTTCATCTTTATCTCCTGGTACTCGGCATACCCAATCTTCTCGTCATCCCCGTTGATCATTTTGATGAGATACTTCAATCCACTCATCCTTGCTTTGCTCAGGATCTTTGCGCCGATGTCACTAGTGTTGACTGCTGTAGGAATTCCAGTGACCCTCAACTCTTTGGTACTCACTTTCTGTTGAAGCCATAGGAGTCTTGCAGCAATGTGTCGTGTTCGTCCGACACCCACTCGACCTGCAAGGGATCTAGCCGCGGACGAGTCACTGCGGCACACCATCTCCAGATCCTCGTTGGTCAGGAACTTCCAACAGTGCCTGATGAATAGTCCCTCGCTGCAGCCTCCAACCATTGCTACGTACTCGCTTTCACCTGATGACAAAGCAATGGACCGCTGAGTTCTTACGTAGCTCTCCATCAACCCCATAGACAGTCAAACACATCGAACAACAACGAAAGGCTGCACTGACAATGATGCGCCCTCTCGCTTGGCGCGTTAGAGCTGGCTTGTTAATAGTGGTTTTTCAGGGCCAGAAATCATGAG